AGGCAACCTTAAATGTATCACGAAGTTGATGCACAGATTTCTGTGTATCATCAACTGATGGCACAGACTTTCCGTATTAAGTAGAACATGCTAAGTGTTTTTTGAACTTCAAAACTCATGCTAACAAATGTCCCCTTTGGGCATAGAAGTTCCTTAGAACCCTAGAAAAAAAAATTTTATCCCAAAGACACACGTTCCTAGTTCAAAATCGCAAGATGGCGCGCCGGCGGCCATTTTGAAAATTTGGTCGACTCACAACTGCCTGAACCGTGTTGTCAATAGAAACTATTGTGACACATGTTTTTTTAGCACTAATTTGAGGTCACTGAATTCATTTTTAGCAATTAATTTGCGGTTTATTGATTTCAAATACATTTAGAGGTAAGTATTCAGAAATAATACACAAAGTCTGTTGTTTATGATAAAATAAACCACACCAGGAAATTTGTCCGGGGACTGTATTGACAATCCCAAGCAGCATCCGAAAACACATGCCTTCAATTCAGCTGAGCTCTTATCTCTCTGTACCCTCCCTCCGCATCATATGGGTCTGGAGACAAGAACCCTGGCATCGTACAGAGAAACATGCGGCAGGGCTACCTTGTGCAACACAGCACTTGCAATGGAGCTCTTCAGTCTGTCTTACACTGGCCAAGTGACAAAAGCTGTGGCACTGTTCCCGAGAAATGGTGGGAATTTGTGATGTAAGACTGGAGTTTGGCACTGAGTCAGGCGCGATCTTGCCTGCCACCGCGTCCATTCAAGCGTTGGAGAGACATGCCACACCATTATTGGGCTGTTAGGAGATTTTCAGTGAACAGCCAGGGCAGCATGTATGACTTGGCCTTGGGGAGTGGTAACTGTGGTTCGTGATGCATGGCATAGTATGCAGGCCCATGAGATCCATTCGACGGCAGCTTCAAGGTTCTGTTTGGGTAGAAGGCTTCTGACCTCGCTCCCAAGCCACACATAGCCCTCTTCAATGATACTGCGGTGAGCAGAGCGTGATAGCTGGACAAGGGTGACTTGTTGGTCCTCAGAGCTAGGAACGTCGCAACACTTCATCATTTGGCAGTGAGACATCGCAGATCCATGGTCGTGTAGAATCCATGGGTCCGTGTATAACCCGGATCCATCACAAAAGCCACGTGTAGGAATGTTCGCAATGTAGGTAGGAGGATTCAGCTTTCTACATGCGTTTGGAAAGGAGGCCTGTTGAAAACCTGCTGCTCAATGTGGAGAATATCACCGCGCGACGGAGAGGATCTTCACTGCTTTGGTGGAGGATGGAGACCTCAGTTGATCTGTACGTCTTTCATATCCACAGCTTTGCTTAGATTCATCTTAAAAACAGTGCGCGGAGTGCAGCGGTTATCTAACGTCTACTTGCGGTGAGCTCTGTTGTAGAAGGTGGTGGTGATTCTAGTAAAACTCTGGTTAGTCCCTCAAATTGTTTCACATCAGCGAAAAAAAACACGGGGAGCGGCGAGCGATTTCGCTCCTCGTCAGCTTTCCAAAGCGCTCTGGTAACAACTAATCTACGAAGAGCGGAAAATTGTTGGAACTACGAGGAAAAAATCGCTCTGCCGGGGTGCCGCCGGCAGCGTTACGACGCCGTGTCCTCAAAACGTAGACAGCTAGCGTATCCAAAACATCTAGAGCTGCATGAAGCTCGCTCACGCACTTATTCGCCACACAAACAAAAACTCGCGACCAGTCTAAGAAATCAAGGGTGTTTTTTTTTATAACCGCGTACATAAGTTATATATCGGGCGAGGGGTTATTTGTGGGAAGTTAGGGCATGACCAGTGCTCACCATCGCTGACCAACGCACGTGTAAATCAAAGCTGTTTTCTGGAACTTCATGCACTGTAAAAGTGGGGACCTGTTTTATTCAGCGTAGATATTAGAAGAAAATGTAATACTTGTATATATACTTGAAGATTCCTAGGCGACTGTAAGTTTGTAACTTTGTGAGATGTCGGCTCAGCAGTTGATAGATCTACTGCATGGGGTAACCGGACTGGGGAAGAGAAAAACGAAAAGTAAACCTTTACCCCAGAAGCTCCGCCCGACATTCCTAGAGATTGAACATTATTTGACACTCTAATTAAGTTAAATCAAGAGTTTAATGAAGACACTATTTTGTCTTCAAAATTAACTCCTGTTATGCGTATGCTGTTTTAATTGCAATCTGGTTCATCTTTATATACTATTTTGTTACTCCACGTGCTAGTAAATTAAGCTGACCACAACAAATTTTTGTGCAGAGTCCACTAACTTTCTGAAGTTGGTGGTCCTGCCTGTCCACTAGATTTTCAGCCTGAAATTCGAACCCTGCGGTGCCGGGCTCGGAAAACCCATGAAAAACCCGCTTGCCCGATGGCACCGGGCGGCAAACGCAAAAAATTTGCCCCGGGGCAGGTACTTGAAAGTTTGCACTTCCCTGGTTCGGCAAGCAAGTTTTTTTTATGAATCGGCTAGACCATAACGAGATTTGAATTAAAAAAACCAATGCGAATGAGGAGCAATCCAAGTGCAATGCAGTCATCACTTTGTACACAACATGCATACAGCAACATGTAAACCCGCCCTCCGTGATTTTTGTCAACAGCATAGGAATAATTTGTGACCTCGTCGATTTTCGCCAAGCATAATCTTCTACTTTTTGTTTGGAAAAACACCTGTACGATAATTAGACACAGCAATTTTCTGGCTTCTGAGCACATTAATTAGAGTCAGTCATCAAAGATTTATGAAAATCTATTAACAAAATCATGTTATGAAAAAGTAGGCTCTTGGCCAAGTTGCTTAAAAATAGCTCCGCGTAAACAAAGAATTACGAGAGCCTTCTTTTTTCAACTACAAAAATCAAAGAAAGAGCTTCCTGTAATAAAAAAGTATTTTTCGCTGGTTCCATCATAACACGCCTAAACAGTGGAACATGCACAGTGATCGGTATCAGGAACCTCTTCAAGGAATGTTCCGTTGGGCATCGTTATGAAAGTTGCCACGAGATGGCCGCGTACGTTTAGTGTCTTTCCAGATTAAAGATGGAAGCTCCCATCGCTACGTAGTAGGGCACACTATTTGCAAGAACAGAATAGGTAAGCCACTCATCCCATTTTTACCTACGCCAAAGCCTAGCAGGCTGGCAATAGAGAGGCTGGCCACAGAAGTGTGTTAGGGTTAGGGTTAGGGTTAGGGTAGGGTAGGGTTAGGGTTAGGGTTTTTGCATCATTCCTTGATATACGGAAATTCTGTGCATCAGTTGATGATACACAGAAATCTGTGCATCAGTTGATGATACACAAAAATCTGTGCATCACTTCGTGATACCTAAGGTGCCTAAAGTGGATTTGCACCCATTCTGCCATAGATGTAATCTATCCAAATGCTCCAACTGGTCTGACCAAAAATTTATCCCCAAAACTGACTAAAAATTTATCCCCGAAATGTACTAGACTGAATCATAGCTGCCCATGTCTTTTGTCTACATTTCGGGTGGTGTCATGCGTGCACACATAAGCAGAGCAACCGCATTTGAAAACGAAACACTAGTAGTGCTAAGACTTTGAGGAATAAATGCATAAATACATGGTGTAAAGTTGTGGAAGTGTTCAAAAAGATAGGTGAGATGTCCATGTTGATAGATAAGTTTTAAAAAGCCCGATCATTTTGCGTTCTGGGGATAAATTTTTGGTCAGACCAGTTGGAGCATTTGGATAGATTACATCTAGATGGCAGAATGTACTATAGCCCTGCGGCAGCGATCCGCGGGCTATAGTACTAGAGCTAGATTGCTGATACTACTACTAGTACTACTACTAGTGTCTATGTCTCCCAGGGTACTGCCGGAACGTACCCTGGTAACTATCTAGCTGATATGGTTAGGGTTAGGATTAGGGTTAGAGTTAGGGAGTAGGCGTGGTACGGTCTGACATATTAGATAGTAGTATTTAGTACCAGGGTACGTTCCGGTATACCAGACTGTACCCAGGGTACGTTCCGGCAGTACCCTGGGCAGGGTTCGACACTAACCCACGTCCGACCGACCTAGTCGGGTAAATGCTTAGTCCGGTCGCATACAACCAGAGTGGCCCGGGGCCCGACCAGGGGCCCGACTGGTCGTGTAAGAATTGGTCATATATATTGCACTGAAAGGTCACCTCTGGCTAGACTGGTTCGCGGCCGCACTGTTTGTCGCAGAGCGTGTACATTGTCTAGAAGAGCGTGAGGCTGGATACCAGTCTATCCTTCGGCAAAAACAATGACGTGGCTTGCTGCCAGCCGCAGTAGACGATCGGTAAACCGTGCGCTCGTGTATGCCCGTGGTAGAATACGAATGCTGCACGTGAACTTGGCCTAAGCGCGATTTAAAGTGCGGGAAACAGCATCTATGAATTCATACGATGACACACTTTTATCTAAATAAAAATTTTCATAACAATAGTCTGGGTCTGGGCTAGTGAAAGTTAGGTCAGGGCTAGTGGTTTTCCTCAGTTACTAGCCTGATGGTCTAGTGAAATAAAAAGTTAATGTTGAACCCTGACCCTGGGGGACATAGACCCTATCAGCAGTAGGATTGTACCGTAGTATTTGGACGCTCAAAGTATTTGGACGCTCCGTAGGCATGCTCTTTTGTTTTGCTCTTGTTTTCTTTTTGTTTGAATCTTGCTTTGCACGGCCGTAGGAAATAGTAGCCATGCTCTTTTGTTTTCTTTTTGTTTCGACTTGTAACCTGACACACATAACACAGTCTTACTAATTTACTACATATTGCAAATTGTTTCAATCAAATGTTTCCATCAGTGACCGGGAAGTCCGCCATGTTTGTTTATTGCGACCGTGTCGAAGGGCAAGATGCGCAGATGACTACTGCGCATGCTGCGCATGCGCTGTGAGTGCCCTTGCAAAACAATAGGCGCCTGCGCGCATGCGCACTTAGGAGCGTCCAGTTTCGGGCGAGCGTCCAAATACTACGGTACAGGATTCCCGCACATTCCAAAGAGAGAATCAGTGCCTTGTGAAATACAAGAGAGGGACCCCAAGATACAAGATACAAGATAGTACTAAGAAGTACTTAAAGTTAAAGTAGGTCCCTACTTAACCCGACCAGGCTGTGTGACTGACGTCAATATACAGCCTGACATCCATCCATTGGAAAATCTTGTACCTCTACAAAAACTGCTAAACAATTTCGTATATCTCAAATAAAATAATCATCTAAGCATTTCTGCCTTGTTTTGTATTAAGTAACCTTCACCTTATAGTATTCCAGCGTTGTTATTAAAACTAATACCTCAGTTGTGTACAGTGTAAATTTCAAGAGCCGAACCGAAATATCAACTAACCGCCAACCGCCATGTTTCCAGTGCGCATGCTTTGGAACAGCACGCGGAAAACCCGAAATGACAACGGGTACCATAGTGTTGCAACTCGAGTTGGCGCGAGCATAAATAAGCATCATATACTCGTATATATATAATTATTAAAACATTGAAAACCAGGAAACATCAATCTGTAACAACTTAATAATTATCATTGCGAAGATATGTACTTGCCTTGTGTTTAGGCCTACGCACTGTGAAAATCGGGTCCATTGCCGATTTTAATCGCACTGAACATGGCGGACATGGCAGCTGTCTGGTTGTTTTGATCCAATTCATCTCAGAAAAACAACATAACTCGATAAATAAGTAGCGCCCTGTAGCGCCCAGTTACCGCGAGCAAGCTAGAGGTTTATAGATTCGTTTGAGCTATTACATGTGACGCTAGCTGTGTCGATAGTTGGATACCGAGCCAACTACAAGGATTTATGGGCAAGAATTTGAAACGGTATTCTAACCCTAGCAATACCGTTTCTAGGAACTAGGGCCTACTTAGTCTAGTACTAGTACTAGTACTAGTAGTAGTACTAGTACTAGTACTAGGTTCTAGGGCTAGGCTCTATAATCATAATGTACTGTTATATTCTATTGTATAATAAATTAATACTATTATACATTACATGCAGTATTTCTATTAGCCACAACTCGACCTCGCTACGAACGACGCACAGGCAGGAGCTTGAAGAGACCTTTATCGACGACTGGAGGAGACTGACTTCGGACGCCGCGCGGGATGACGCGACACGCACGCAATGCTACGGCCGGCACCGTCTACTCGTACTCCGAGCGCCGCAAGGATTCGTCTGCCGGCGGCTACGGCAACCAGGAGAAACGCCTCAGCAAGGATTCGGTGAAGGTGAGACGGCGGTAGAGACTGCGGGGTGGGGGGTCGTCGGTGCGTGATTCAAATCAGGTTGACGTCATGTGGCCCGCGGGGTTGTCGGTGCGATTCAAATTGATTTAATGTCGTGGGGCTTGTTGTCAGAAACAAGATTAGTCTCATCAGTAGTGTTGGAAAATTTCCGCCTCAGCGAGGATTCGGTAAAGGTGAGAGACGACGTAAGAGATCGGATGAGAGGGTTGCTTGTGTGTGATTTAAATTGAGTTGATGTCGCGTGGGGCCCATTGTCAGAAACATAATTAGTCTTAATGTTAGTGTTAAAATCCTGCCCCAGCAAGGACTGGGTGAAGATGATGTGAGAGAGACAGCAGTGTCGTAGCAAGCAGGGTGGGGAGGCAAGGGAGGCAGTATGCTAACTTTTTTAGAGAATAATTCTTTCTCACGAAGAACGAACTTCTATACACTGCGTAAGAGAAACTCATAACTTTACGACGTTTCTGTCGACAGTGTACGAGAAAAATTTAAATATTAAAGGCAAATGTTGTTCATTTTATTTAATTTCGTTAATGTTGTATTGTAGTGCCGTCTTTGACAGCTTGCGAATAGTATGACTATGTTACAACGTTAAGTCAAAGCCAAGAATAAGAGAAAGCCAGTTGTTACCATGTTTTAGAAGTTTACTACTGATTTTGTGAGCGAATACAGCCGTGGTCGCGGTCGTGCCTGCCGGTGCCTGGGTGTGAAGCCGAATTCCCCGATTCTCCCCGGCTCTCGTCTCATATAGGCAGCCATGACCGCGCCTCGCGTGCGTCACGCGTGCGTCATCTACACTACCGCGACATCATGTTGACACAGGCCCTCGCTAGGGCTCTATTCAACTTCCGAGCGAGAAGCGCATCGTTGCCGGCCAAACTGTTTACACAGACACGCCCCTCACTTAGGGCTCTATTCAACTTCCGAGCGAGAAGCGCATCCTTCCCGGCCAAACTGTTTACACAGACACGCCCCTCACTTAGGGCTCTATTCAACTTCCGAGCGAGAAGCGCATCCTTCCCGGCCAAACTGTTTACACAGACACGCCCCTCACTTAGTGCTCTATTCAACTTCCGAGCGAGAAGCGCATCCTTCCCGGCCAAACTGTTTACACAGACACGCCCCTCACTTAGTGCTCTATTCAACTTCCGAGCGAGAAGCGCATCCTTCCCGGCCAAACTGTTTACACAGACACGCCCCTCACTTAGTGCTCTATTCAACTTC